GGTGGAGAACCAGCTAGATCAGGGTCATGTCATATAACAATAAAGGTGTTAGACATAAATGATAATCCACCAGTTTTTGATCAGCCAGTTTATAAAATTAGTCTAAAAGAGAATATTCCCCTATCTACTGTTATAATAAAGTTAAATGCAACAGATCCAGATGAAAGAGCAAATGGTGAAATAGAATACTATTTTGATGATCATACATCTAAATCTGCAAAAAGGCTGTTTGCTTTAAATCATCAACATGGTGACATTTATGTAAATGGGTCTGTGGATTATGAAGAGCTGAACTTTCATGAACTATCTATCAAAGCAGTAGACAAAGGACTTCCTAAACTGGAAGGTGACTGTTTGGTTCATTTTGAAATAGAAGATGAAAATGACAATTATGCTGAAATAGATTTTGCGTCAACGACAAATGAGATTTCAGAAAATGTACCTCTAGGAACAGTTTTGGGAGTCTTTAATGTGCAAGACAAGGATTCTGGGAAAAATGGGGAAATACTGCTTCACATATCTCCCAATATTCCTTTTAAAATCAAAAATAATAAAAATCATTATTTATTGGTTACAGGAGGGGCTTTAGATAGAGAAACAATATCCCTATACACCATTGAAGTGACAGCTAATGATTTAGGATCTCCTGCATTGTCAATTAAAATTAGTGTCTTTTTCAGGGTTTCTGATGTTAATGATAATGCACCAACATTTACACAATCTAGCTATAATGCCTTCATTAAGGAGAATAGTGACCCAGGGACTCTACTATGTACAGTGTCTGCTTCAGATACAGATGAGGGGGTTAATGCTGATCTGGTTTACTCCATAGTTGACACCCAGATAGAGGGATCATCTGTATCTTCTTTTGTTTATATAAATGCCAATAATGGTGATGTCTATGCTCAGCGTTCTTTTGACTATGAGCACATTCAGACTCTACAAATCACCATAAAAGTGGAGGATTAGGGATCTCCAAAATTAGTTTCTACTGTCCCTGTCTTTATATTCATATTGGATACAAATGACAACTCCCCCACCCTGCTTTATCCAGAGCACTCTGAGGATCTCATTGTCCAAGAGAAGATCCCAAAATCTACAAGTGCTGGATATCTGGTGACAAAACTGACTGCAGTGGATCAGGACTCTGGTCACAATGCCTGGTTGGTCTTCAACCTTATTGACGCTGACAGCTCTTCAATGTTCCAAGTGTCTAAACATACGGGAGAGGTCAGGACAGTGCAAGGATTTCAGGAGGCAGAAAATACAGAGCAGCAACTTGTCATTTCTGTCACTGATCATGGAGATCCACCATTATCTACCAAAGTCACTGTACTTGTCAGTATAGCAGAAGATGTTGTAATAGAAAGACCCGAATCTGGAGACTTCCTCAGAAATTCCAAACCACCATCAGATATGACGTTATATTTAATTGTTTCTCTTGTGGCTATCAGTTTAGTTTCCCTTGTGACATTCATTATATTACTGGTGAAATGTCTGAGGAAGTATAATTATGGCTATAGCAGAAGTTGCTGTTATCTTACTGGATCTGAGTCCAAACCATACATGGATCAGTATCAGCCAGCTCTTTTCCTGAACTCGGATGGAACATTAAAATACATGGAGGTGCGCATGGTTCGTCCAGGAGGACAAGGACAATGTTACCAAACTAATGTACCCCCAGCCCCACAACAGCGTAATTCTGCTTTTCTGCAGTCTATGGATTTTCCACAATTAAGGGAATTAGTTGGGGAAGCTGACAAATCCTCAAATACAAGCTGCATTAATGATCTAAGCACGGTGAGTTATAGTTAAAATCTACACATATTTCTCTTATTGTGAATTGGTGTTCGAGTAGGGATATTATT